GTAGATGAGGACACACCATAATATTTTTATAAGCCTGCTGGAAGGCACTCAGCAGCAGCCTTCCCTGTATTTTTTTTAATCACACGTTGTAAAGACACCCACAAAAGAGGGCTTCCAGAACTCCTTCAGAAAGTGGCGCAAATAATGGGATAAGTGTGTTCCAAGTGTGGGGGGGGGGGTCTTGAGGAGGATTAATGGCAACATGCCTTTTACTGTGATGAGTTTTTAAAAAATTTAAACATTCACCAAATATTTTGATCACACCTTGTACATTGTTGACAGTTTAGCTTTTTTTGTTTGTCAGGATCCAATGGTGGTAGCACAAATCATATAACCGAAAAAGCCTAAAATGTATACTATCTGTCCCTTCACAGATAAAGTTTAACTTCATAACCGCCCCCTGGTTTAGTGTAAAAGGTAGAAGTGCTGTATTCGCATCATCACGCTGTTATGGACCATTGTGTCCCTCAAATTCATACTGCTGAAGGCCTCACTGCCAGCCCGGTGATTTTGGAGGTAATGAAGTTCAGATGAGGTCATGACGGTTGTAAAAAGAGGAAGACAAAGTACTCTTTCCTGCCGTGAGCAGGCACAGCGAGACAGCGGCCATCTACAAGCCAGGAAGGAGACCCTAACCAGGAACTGAACACGCTAACACCTTACTCTTGGATTTCCCAGCCTGTGGAACTTTGATACATGAACATTTGTCTTTTAGGCCACTCAGTCTGTGGTACTTTGTTACAGCAGTATGAGCAGACCTAACACATACCTATACATACAAATCAAGGAAGAAAATACAAATGGCCTGCAACTTACAATTTTTTGACTTTGTGGTGCTATAAAAGCTGTATGCATTCAGTAGAAACCATCCTTTGAACCTTGCATTTTAGTCTTTTTTCCAGGCTAGCCACTCATGGTACAATACTCTCTTGTGAGGCTGAGTAAAAAAAAAAGCAAACCACATCTCCAGCTCAGTTACTCAATCATGAAAGGAAAGAACTGATACCCTACAGCATTCTGTGTTGCTAAGCTATGGGTTATATGTAGTAAATGTATTTTTAATTTACAATATTTTCAACTTACTATGAATTTATCTGGAAATAGCCCCGTTGTAAGTCAAGAAATATCTGTATATACCAGAGCAGGGGTGATCATGGGTGCAAATAATACATGGAATTATTTCAATTTTTCATTAAACATGTTAAACATAAAAGAATAAAAAAGAATATAACTGCTGTTAGGGAATAAAGTAGGAAATATTTTCCCTTTCTTCCCATGGGCCAGTCATTATTGTCGACATGTTTCATTTCACATGGGCCTCTTCCACCCCATGCATGGGTTCCACAGTATCTCTGTTCTAGAGAGGAGGAAAGGAAAACTCAGGGGTTTCCAATAACTTGCCCAAGGTCACTCTGCTAGTAAAAGGCACTCTGTAGATTTATGGTGGCAACATACTTAAGCAGCAGTAGTGAACAGGACGAAAATAGGAATTGGTTTAGGAAGAGTGTTCTACGTGAACTCAGGGGAGACTAATCCTAACAAATTATGAGGAAGATACATCTATGTAGATCTTCAAGTCTAATATACCTTACAAGATATCTGTGCAAATGGGATGTAATGTATATGAAAGCACCTGAATAAATTGTAGCCTAATGAAGGCTGGGTATTCAAAACCTTGCCTATGTGCTAACCTTGGTGCATTGTGCTAGCTTTTCATATTCTCTCACAAATCTTCCCTGATCTAAGACCAATATAAATGTTGAAGAAGGGAGGACTGGTTGACTCTACACAGCAGAACACTATGCAGCAGTTAAAGAATCAGGCAGTAGCATATTGTTTCAGAATTGTCATTGTGGCATTCAGACTGTTCTGTGCAATGCGTAAGAAAGAAAATGAGTAATTATGTTATAATCCTTGGTGTCCCTGAGAACCAGATTCTTAGCATAGAGAAAGGAGGCGCAGATACAAAAGAAGAGGTTAAGTCACTTGTAGTTCTAAATTTGAATTGAAAACATCACTATTAACTCACACTGTACTTTTATTATAAACAACAGTAATATATTTCCTAAATCTTCTCACTGAAAATGATGAATAACCCAAGAAAAATGAGCTCTCTTAAGTATCCAGATTGTAGTTTCTAAAACTATTAACTGCTAAGAGCTGGATGTTCTTTGAAAAATGGCTTCTTGCAGGTATAGGGCAGAACCTGAATATCTTAGTTTCCTTGCTATTTGGATAGCATCAAAGACTACTAGGGTTATTCAGAAGGAATCAGCTGGCAGAGATAGCACTATCCAAGCATCAATATGCATAATAAATAAAAGAGATCAAAACACATCAAATAGGTTTAAATTCATGAGTTTATAAATATACCTAAAAAACAAAAAATTCTAACTGGTCAGGAAGATGATCATAAATCACTCATTATGTTGAAAACTAGCAAACACTATAAAGGGAAAGAATCAAAATTTATCCACCTTACTTCTATGAATTGTACAACTAGCTAATGAAATAGTAGTTGAGAGAAGTTTCTCTTTATTGGAAGTATTCCAGCTAATAAATGAAGGGAGAATAATAAAAGAACATCATCATTCTATACCCCTAATTAAGTAATGGATCTAAGCAATAAACATCAACTGTTGCCAAAATCACAAAAAGAGACAGCTAGATGTCACATACCTCCTGAAGAGAGGCACAACAAGATCCATGAAGTACTTCTGGCCCCCCAATATCAAACCTAAATCTGAGTAAACATCTAAAACAAGCGAACAATGTATAGGAAATAGTGATGATATACGAACATATTAAATAGCATCATAGAGCTGTAATCATAAAAATCCAGATTGGAAATCTTTGCAGGATAAAGGATCCAATTCTTTCAACAAATATATTGCATGTGGCAGAGGGAAGCAAGGAAAGTTGAAGGAAACAGTATATTAAAGAACACTTAAATGTCAATTGACTACAATGTGTTCAACTTGCTTGGATTCTGATTTTAAATAAAGATTGTTTAAAAAGACACTTATGGAACTGCTGTAAGGTTTGAGCACTTGTTTGACCTTTGATATCATTAAGAGATTGTTGTTAAACTGTGAAAATGGTGTTGTAAGGATAAAGGGCCAATCTCATAACTCAGTGGCAAGTGAAAAGCTTGGTGGGGATGCAGATAAAAGGAGATCAGTTATGTCCTGATGATAGTTGAGGCTGGATGAGGGCCCATAAAAGTTTGTGATTTTGCTCTTCCCTTTTTTTTCCATGTGTTTAAAAGTTTCCATAATAAAAAATTAAAACAAATCCCCCATGACGTTATGTTCTCAGCAATAATGGTAGCTGGGGATATCACGGTTCGGACCAGCATTTCTTTTCTGGTGCCTGAAGAGTGATGGAGAGTTGAGCTTTGTGTTTCAAACCATCCACCCGGGATGGAGCTTCCCCATCACCTCCTCATGGGCCAGGTCAATACGGTGCTTGGGAGCAAATACATACACAGATATGAAAATATATCAGAGAGAAGGGTTCTCACAACATTATGTATTTCGCTCCAAAGCTGCGAAGGGCACGAGGAGTTTGTTATTTCCTAAGGCAGATCAAGCTCTACAGAACTGAATCTGCCCAGCACAGGTCACTGCGTGGAGTCCACAATTAGGAAGAGAAGAGATGGGGAAGGCGTCAGGGTGGTAAGCATTTCCATTCTGAAGTGTTGTGCAAATGGCAAGGGACACTGGTTGTGTCCTAATGCCATTTTTTGCATTGGCATAGATATACGGAGCTTCCAAAATTAGATAATGGTGTGTGTGGGAGAGAAAACCACCCACATTCGTTAGAGGACTCCACAGGTGAGAGAAGAAAGGAGTTGGTTCAAACTGTAACACCCTGCCACTGAGCCTGCGATGGTGGGAAGAACTGAAAATTAGGGGACAGGAAGTAAGAAACTACTCTGATGCCTATCTTTAGAAATATCACCGCCCAGGCATAGAGATGAAGCCTGCTGTTTGGGTAGCTTCTGTGGCTTCTGTTGTTTTGCCAGCACCATAAGCATCTGTGAATGTCCTAACTGCACTGCAGGGCCAGGAGTCCCTCTTGTGGGCTTGCTTTAACCCTAGAGTTCACTTATTTGGGATCCTTCTCATATTGTCGAAATTGCCTGTCATTTGTCTGTTACGCTAGCCCATAACCTGTTGAGGACAAGGGCTTTGTCTGTTCTTCATGGTGTTCCATCACATAGCCCAGGGCCTGGAATACAAAAGTGCTCAAAAAATATTAAGCACATAGTTGGAATCACCATGGAAGAAGCACAGAGGGGTGGTTGTAAGTGTGGACATCATAGTCAGACACATGTGGGATTGACTTGTGGCCCTGCCAGCTCACTCTACCCACCGATGCTGAATTATGGTTTCCAGAGTCTACTACTGGCCTATCACAAGACTTCAGGTATTGTAAGACAGTTTGAGATTTTCCTGGAAAAGACAAATCATGGACAGTCTTCATCTTAGGGTGTTTCAATTTATGATTTTTTAAAAACTTTTCAGTGGTACGTAAAGTAGCTGTACTTCAAATTTGAGTCTCTTCCTGGGTTATGTGATATGCAGGGTGATCCTCTCTGGAGATACTGGGCAGTAGTGAGCTGTAGCTCATAGTCAGCTATATGTTCAGTAAAGGAAACAAGGGGTACTCTACACTTACACTGTGTGTGCTAAACTTGGCTAGGTGTATTAAACGCATCTGCAATAGATGATATGTAAACTTATGATGGGTTTATCAGGACGTAGGATCACCTGTGACTATAAATTTCTGTTTCCATGCAGTAATGCTAACTAATCTAGGAAAACCATATGGAGCTCTACTGCACACCTGTCTGGAATGGTTTCTATTAATAGATGTATAAATAATAAAACCTGAAATTCCAACTACATTATGCCTTGGACCTGTGTTACGGGATTGAGTGGTGAAACAGACTAAAGAACACTTTAAAGCCTAACCATGTGCGTGGATAAGCAAACCTGGGCATCTTCAAATGTGTATCTCCCTCCATCTTTGACATTTTGACTGGTTATCTCATAGCTGTGAGAATCCAGGTTGATTGCACTTGGGGCTCCTGGGGCTAAAAACTCTTGCCAGATTTCTTCCACCCTCTTGGCCACATCCTGTAAGGGTTGTTTCTTGAGATCTTGGACAGCCAGCCAGAACCTGCAGTGGGAGCAGAAACAGTCAGTTCCATCTGGACCCTGCTGGAAATGGCCCCAGAACTGATGCATTAAACTTATTCTCTTGACCCTCCCCAGCCTTCCCTGACGCCACTACAAGGGTCACAAAGACCATGGGGACTGTTGAAAGGACAAGCAGTGTTCCACTCCTGTGAAGGGTGGAAAGAGAGGACATGTTGAGAGATCAATGGGCTTCAGGTGACCAACAGGAGGTTTTTCTTCCTCTACATCTAAATGTCTCAATTTTGCCTGGCTGGATGATTTTTTGTTGGTTAAGGTGGGTGGGGGTGGGGACTGCTCTGTGCATTGTTGGTTATGCAGCAATTTTGGCCTCTACCCAACTAGATGTCGATAGCACTCCCCAACTTATGACAACCCAAATGTTTCCCTGGAGGTAAAATCACCCATTTGAGAACCACTGTAGTGTACACAATGTGAATCACTTTGCTACATCTGGTTGGGATCAACTGGAGGCATCAAAATGAAAAAAGCAATCACAGAAGCAGGTAGAATCCTAGAATCACAGAGAATATTTGAGCTGGAATGAACAAATCATTCATGTTACAGAAGGAGAAATTGAGCTGTTCACAGTATCAGCCATCAACACAGTGCTTGGTATATAGCAGGTACAAAATAAATGACTTTTAGATTGAAGGTGGGCTTATCTGGAACACAGCTGACGGCATACATGGGAGACCTCTCTCGGGAGTGCCAGAGAGAAAAATCTTTTGCTCACTTCTACTCGCCGATCCATAATCCCTCAGGATTCGCAGGGAAGCTGCCCTTGGCAGAGCCGCCCATGAGCTCATTTCTGCTGAGGGCAGCAGCAACATGAGCCAAAGCCTGAACAACAGCTCCTGTATCCCGAGGATGGTTCCCAAGCAGCCTTTCGGCAGGACATGGGAGCTGCTGGGAAGGGGACAGGCCAGCCTCCCCAGTGTGATAGGAGGACAGGTCTGGTGCTGCGGGGTTTCTACAACCACAAGAATATCACCTGTAATCTGGTCAGTGAGGGAGGAGGACAAAAAAAGCTGAACCATAATGCGGTGAAAGTGCATTCAGTCTGTCATCAGATCTCACCCAAAGTAAGATGTACTTGTTTTTTGTTTGTTTATTTGCTTTTATTGTTGTTTAAAAAGAAAAAAAAAAGTTAAGCATGTTTTTCTGTTGCTCTTCACTGCCTGTGGAACCAAGTGCATGGCTCAAAAGCACCACTCAGTGGCACTCTGTGGTAATGGAGGCCCATTTTCACAAGGGTGTTTGTTTCTGAAATGCTGAGCTCCAGCCCTTCCTCTGATTTGCCATTTAGGATTCTAATGATCTTCTTAAAGAAAACTCTCATGGTCCCCTCATTGATCTTGAAGAGGCAAGAGAAAGGCCAGGAAGGAGGGACTGTCACTAGGTCAGAAGAACAGCAGGTGTAGTCTATCCTCATCCTGGCTGTGGTTTGCGTTGTCTGGGACCGCTGTACTTGTTAGGTGTGTCTTTCTTCATCTGTGAAACAGGCACAAGGTGGGTAGTGGGAGATATGACACAGGTCTGGAAAACTTCCCCTCCACACTTAACTCTGCAATACCCCTGGGTGGGAAATGGAGGGGCACGTTGGAGTGGCCGCCACAGGCTCCATAATGCCCCCTCATATTTCAGTTCTTTCTCCTCCAGTGGCTGGAGCAGAAGTGACCAGGGCTCTTGCTAATGCCACATCTCATTACCTGCCCTTCAACATTAGCCCTCTTTCTTTCTGCCACAGGTCCTTGGGGCTCCAGGCTGCCAGAAGCAAGGAGAACAGTAGTGATTCTCTAACCAGAGTCCTGAGGGCTTTGAAAGGAATGTTAACCTGTCAGACTGCAGGTTAACAGGTCAGCCCTTGAAATGCCCCCATCTCCTGCCTCTTGGCCCCTTTCCTTGGTGTCCTCGGGGCTCTCTGTCTGCCTCTAAGGTCTGCTGTGAGGTGAGCAGATGGAGAAGGTCACCTGACTATGAGAGACCTGCAGCGCATTCTCTGCCTGCAAAACACGTCTGACCGGCAGGTGGGCAATGTCGAGAGCCCAGCTCCGCAGAAAGGACTGGAAGGGGTGCTAAGGGGCAACTTACCAAAGCCTAAGTCAGGGAGTCTTCCACAAGTCCGCACACAACCTCTGCCCCAGGAGTTGCCTCAGAGGGGCTGAATCCCTGGCTGCAAGGACATTTCTGGGCCAGCATCCTCCCCAGCCTACCAGGTCGCTGCCGTTTCTCACTCAGATGAATGACACATGGGTGATTTCCTGCTTCCTCCATCACTGTTCTCTCTGTCTCTTGTCTCTTGCTCCACCACAGAAGGCCCTAAAAGCCCTTGCAGCTTCTGGGCTCCACAGGCTCCCTGTGGTTCCTGAGGCTTCCAGATTCCCTTTGTAGAATTTGGGAGCCACATTAATGCACATCACTGAGCTGGTTGAGGAAGGTCTGAAGCTGATGTTGATGCAAACTTCAAAATCAAGCTTAATAAAGTTTTCTATTAAAAAGGTTCCCTTTCATAGGGTAAAACCAAGAATTAGGAAAAAAAAAAAGCACAAGAGGAAGCAATAGGCAGGTCAGAGGAGGAGGTGACAGGAGTCTGAGGGAAGGGGAAGTCTGGGGTGACATTCCTTCCACAGCAGTTTCTTTTCTTGCACACACAGCCTTCTGTCAGCCCTGGAGATGACCTGCCTTGCCCCTCTCAGGTGACAGAAAAAATTCTGTCACAATAGCATCCTGACATCCCATATGTGTTTACTATCACAGCTTGGAAGAACCCTGCATCAATTGGAAATTTAGAACAGGCTTCAGTTTGTGTTTGCCATCTCCCAGTCCCACAGAGCTCAGGCCTCGCTCTCCCCTCCCACCAAGCAGCCACAAAGCAGCTCTGCACCTCCACGGCAGAAGGGAGGCCCACTGAAGCTTTCGAAGTTGCTGCTCTTATCAAAAGCCTGCAGGTATCACTCCTCTGAGGACGCAGTGGGGAGTCAAATGCCAGCAGCAGCGCCAGAGTCACCCATCCTGCTCTAAGCCCCTGTGCTGGCAGCAGAGGATCATGGTGACTGGCAGGTCCAGGGCTCCAGGGTATTGGGGGGACCACCTGCCTCTTCCGGTCCCGAGTTGCTGCCAATCATCAGAGCAGCAGGAGGCAGGCAGCTTCTGTGCTGGCATCTGATGGGTGGTAATGGCTTGGAAATAAAGGCAGGCGGAGAAACTGGCCTTGGGGGAGGGCAGCGAGGCTCAGAAACCACTGGAGCAAAGCCACGATGAACGGTGAATGGATGGGACTTGAGGGCGGTCCCAGGGCTGCCTCAGGTGGTCTCATTTCTCCCTGAATGCTGATGAGGAGGAGCAGCGTTTGCTCCTGGAGGCTGGTTGGAATGAGAGAAATTGTGAGCCAATGATCATTTTTCAGGCTGTTGGGAGGTCTGGGCAGCCCCTCAGTTACCAGCTTACCCATCTTTTCACAAACTAAGATCTTCATGGGGTAGAAAATACAGCTTTGGGTTCATTCTTAGAGAAAAGCAAACTCTGTGGCAGAAGAAAGTGTTTCTGTGCCCTCTGCTGGTCAACCAGAGACTCAGAACAATAGACTAAACTTGACTTTGGTGCCTGCTTGGGCTGAAATTTTCCGGTCCCTCCGTTAGCAACCACCATCAACACTGCAGAAGCTGGGCTGTGTCCCCCAGGCAGCGGTTGAGCTGCTGTAGATTGTCACAACTTCACTGGGGTCGCTTGGTCCTGATTCATCACGTGTTTGGTTAGAGGGGGATCTCACAGGGCCTGGTGAACCTTCTGAGGTCTCCTAGGACTCGGGCAATGCTAGGACAGAGCTCTCAGGCAAACCTGGCAGCCCCCACCCCCCACACCATGCTCTCTTTTAATTGCTTCTCCCTTCAGCTGACACAGTGTGGAACTAGCATCATCAATCTGCAGGTTAGAAGAACAACTCCATTCTCTCAGGAGACGTTACACCTCATAAAAAATGTACAGGGGACGCTCTTTGCTGCAGGTTTTGATGTTTAACTCATGCCCTGCCATGCAGTAGATGGTGTCAAGCTTTGCATGAGTACAGAGCTTTGCGTAGGGAAGACTGAGTGGAGGTGAGGGTAGGGAGTAAGGGGTGACAGTCACTATTCTGGGAAATGCACAGAACAGGAAGGACGAGGTCATCAGCTCTATGGCACTCCCTGCTTCCAGACTAGAGAGCTCCTGCCTGGTGAGTGAGAGGCTAATTCCAATGGTGCCCAGAACACAGCTGTCTCTGTGGGTCCACCCAGTGTGAAGGAGCACTGGACTCAGCTCCAGGTGGGTTAGAAAAGGAAAAGAGGAGCAGCCCCTGCCACAGAGGGTCACAGCAGGCATGCTGCTGGCCATACTGCCTCTCTGTCACCTGGAGATGACAGCTTTCACTCATCTCACAGACTCACCCAGAACAAAATGATCAGGAAGGACTTTCCATCACATTACGTCATCATGGACCTCTTTCTTTAAGAGACCTAGGGTGACACTTTGGGGCTCCTCCGCTCCTCATTCTGAAGTTATGGTTTAAATGCAGCTACCCGGCCACTTAACCAGCAGTGTTAAGATCTAAGCAGCTTTGTGCTAGAGAGATGCAGGGAGATGGGAAGACAGAAGTGTGTAGGCCCTCTGTAGTGCAGCAGGGCTCTGGTCAGGTTCTCTTCTTTCCTGTCTTGTTGGATGCCAGTAGCCTGGGTTCTTGATCAGTCCTGGGCAGAAGGGATGAGGACTTAAGCATAACTGTTTTAGTTTAGATCTAAAATGTCCTCCTTCAAGTCTCCTGTGCTCAGAGGCAGGGCTTTTAGAAAGCGGATCGTGAAGTCTCTAACTCCATTGAGGAGATCATCATTTGATGGCATCATTGGGAGGTGATGGAAATGAGGAGGCAGGACCTAGGTGAAGGAAGTGGATCATGGGGGTGTGGCCATGGGGACTATCGCTCAGCCCCAGCCCAGTCCTCCCCAGCTCAGCAGCTTTCCTCCACTATGCTTTCCCTGCCACCATGATGTTTTTGCCCTGTCCTGGGCTTAAAAGAAATGGAGTCAGCTGATCATTGACTGAAGCTATGAGCCAAAAACACCCTTCCTTCTAAGTTGACTTTCTCTGGCATTTGGTCACAGTGACACAAGCCTGACTAATGCAATGGCCAGTACAACAGATGGGCAGGATCCTCCCATTGTGCCACATCGTCCAACTCTCAGAAGCCACTGTGCACACAGACCATTGCCTGGCCACACATTGTCCCCCTGGCAAGGTGTAAAATGTGGTCAGCCCTGAATCCTTGAGATCTGGGTCATGGCAGGAGCTGAGCCAGGATCTGTGGCCAAAGGAATGAACATAGAGGGAAGGGAATCTGCTGTTTTGTGATGAGTGACCAAAGGGTCCTAAAGTTGTGTAATTTAAAACCGAGCTTGCCTCTCTGTGCCTAATCATGCCGAATATCATAAAAATGGAATTTGACCTCCAGAGGGGATTTTAGAAGCTCTTGGGCTATACTTTCTCCTTCTGCTATTCCATTTTCTTTATCCTCTTTCCTGCCATGGATCAGAGGAGACTCTCTTTAAGCCTGGATTTATGCATGCATGCTGGGGGCATATTCATATTCTTTCACCAAAGATGAAATGTAGCCCTCCTGGCACCAGGGAAGGGGCTGGAAGAGGCAAAAGTGGTAATGGCAGGAGGAACTGTTGAACACCTGCCAGGGACACACTCCTCAGTGCACTCAGTGCCCGAAGTGTAGTGCGTATTTTGTGAAACTAGTCTTATTTGATGTGTGGCCCTGACTACACTCTAGCTTTCTGGAATTGATTGCTCCTGTTCAAGCAGAGCAGCAGCAGTCTGAGCAAGTGGACACTCTTGGGACCTCACAATGACTGGGACTCTGTGGTCATTCTTGAAAACCTCTGTAAGAGTGCAGGAGGCACAGGGTCTTGAGTCTACTTATGGGCTGAGAAAAAGCCAAGTAAAGGGCTCACTATACCACTCCATCTTGGGGACCAAAGGGGGATAGGGATGAAGACTTCTAGGTGCGGCTCCTGGAGACTATGCTGGGAGTGGAATCTTGGATTGATCTGGCCACACAGTGGTGCCTTGTGGGAGCATCCAGCTGGCCACAGAGGGGTTTGCATCCCACGAAGCCTGGGAGGCTGGTCTGAATGCCACTCTAGAGGAGAGAATTAGAGGCCAATCCTTCTGTTACAAATGCTTCATTAGGAATTGAAGCAAGGCTCTGAGATGTGTTTAGAATAACATCCAACTCTGCTATAGCCTGAAAATAAGACATTCAACCTTGCCTGGTTTATAATAGGTACAGGGATGCCTAGAAAGGCATATGGTTGCTTGAGATCTACATATCTTCCCGGGACTTCACAGTGTGGGAAAATCACACTGCTCTCCTTGACTAATTTAGTCTCCCAGCTTAGAATATTCCCTCTGCTTCTTCTTGGTCTGCCAATGTCTTGGTACCTTTCTAAGTCTAGCTTATGATTTGCCCTTGCTGGCTAAACATTGATTTTTCCCTCCTTTAAATACTTGCAAAATGGTTTTAGAGTTTACACTTACTTATGCCCAATTACAGATTTAATCATTTCTTGTGTGTGTGTTTTTTTTTCAAGGACCCACAAGGTCATCGCAGCAAAGATCATGCATCTTGACTGTCTTGCTTCCCTCAGTCCACACTGGTCAGGCTTGGTACTACATAGATGTGTCACAAACGTCACTTGATTGATGTGTGCAATTGAGGTGGTCTCTGCCTTCAAATGGACAACGTGGATTTTGCACATTAATATTAGAGAGGATAGTACTTTGCATGAAGTATCTGTTATGATTTTTTTTCATTTTTTTTGAGACAGGGTGTTGACATGTGGTCTAGGCAGCCCTGAAACTTGAGAACCTCCTGGCTCAGTCTCCCAAGTGCTGGGAATACAGAAATATGTCGCTATGCCCAGGTATGATCTGATTTTTAAAGCTAAAAAATTATAAAAATTATTAAAACTCTTTCAGAAAATAGCTCTAGAATATGGGAATTAATCCAATAAATAAAATAGAACCTGGCACAAAGAGAAAAGAGAGGGGCTTTCCTCTTATCCATGGTAGCAATCAGTTTGCTAAGACCTCTGGGAGGTCTTGGATAAGTCACATTTCCATGAGTCTCTGATTCTTCACCTAGCACAATAAATGACCGAATAAACCCCAACTTATCTAACTTTTCATGACCAAGAACTCTTTCCTTTAATATATCTCCTTCTTTTCCTCTCATATTGTACCCCATATTTTGAGTGTTCTTTCCCCCTATTAAATAGCAATTATTAATATATTTTTCCCATAAAGCATATAGACCAATGGAAACAATCAGATGTTCTCTCTGGCATGAGATGATTAGAATAATCACCACCTGGACTTGATAGAATTCTCCCCAACAGGAAAAATAAAAAAGCACGTTTTAATAGCTTGAATAAGGTGTGCCTCAAAAATATGGTGGATGTTTAAATTTTTAAAAGGGGACTAGAGTAAAACACACGTTGCCATGTACCCCTCTCAAAATACTTTCCTTCACTTTGAACACACTTAATGTTCCTGCCACTTTCTGAATCCGTTCTGGAAGTTCTCTTTCATGAGTACCTGTAGTTGTGCTGCTGTGGTTGCCTCCGTGACCTGAGTCGGTTCAAAATGTTCAGCTTTCATAGTCTTCTTGACTTTGGGGGAAGAAGCAGAGGTCGCACAGTGCCAGAAATGGTGAACAAGATGGATAAGGACACACCGCGTTTTTTGAATGTTTGCCCTTTTCTTGGATGGCACTGGGTAGAAGTGTTGAATCTCTATCTATCTATCTGTCTATCGATCTATTGATATTTTTTATCATACCTCTTAAAGACATTCACAAAAGAGAACTTCAGAAAGTGGAAGAATGATAGGATGAGCGTGTTCAGAGAAAAGGGGGATGTTTTCAGTGGGATTAATGGTGATGTGATTTTTGCTGTGATAACGTTTTTAAATTTAAACATTTACTGTATAGTTCAGTCACGCTTCATATTGTTATGTCTCCAGTTAATTGAAGGATATTTATTGTGGCTGTTTGGAATTCTGAAATGAGTCCATTGACTCTTTTCTCTTCGGTTTCCCCTTTCAGAGACTCAGGGCCCTAGACTGGGGAGTCTGAGAGAAGAGATGTGTGCGCTGCTGTTCCACTCAGAAATTCCCTGGTTCTCTGGTTTCACTCAACCAATGGTATCATCAAGTCCATTTGACTATTTAATTATTATCAAAGATGTTTCCAAGTAGTTGAAAAAATGTCATCCAGACTCAAAGAAGTAAAAAAAAAAAAATGCTGATATTGGTGTAGGTGCTATTCTGGTGGTTTACAAAGTTAACTATTTAGTTTGTTCTTCATTTCATCATTAGCCAGATTAGTTGGAATCTGAATCCTAATAATATCTTATTGAGAAATAGAGGTGGAGAGACTGATTTTACAAATTCCCTCACACACATTCTGCATACAGTTTAAACCTTGGAGAGATTTACCTGAGGTTTTCTGAACTGAATTCAGACTCCAGGAATCGTAGGAACTGGTCCCGCCCCACCTGGTCCTTCAATATCTCGTCGAAAGAGAAGCCCCATCTTTTTACTCGCTGCTGGCTGGGCTCTTTGCTTTGGGGTGAAAAATTTAAAAAATGATCAATATTAGCCTGTGGAAAATTCTTCTTAATAACTCAAATAGATTTTGTCTCCACAAATGGAAAGAAAACATCTCACGTTTAAATGACAGATTCTATAAAACTTGCAAATTCCACGTGTGGACTTGTACACCAATCACAGTCAACAGGGAAATGGTCCCTTAAAGGATGCAAGCAAAAGGGTAGGGAGCACTTAGTGAAGGTTGCCAGGGTGTCATCAAGCAGCTGCTGTTTTCAGGAAATGCACTAGCACCACTGTCTGGGCCGCCACGGACCACTCCAGTCCATTATAAGCCCACCTTTCAATGCCATCATCCTACTTTTATCAAAACCCAGGATGTTTCGTGACTCCAACCTTTCATCAAAGACATTGTCTCCTACCTCCTGAACCTTCTTTAATACACAGAAAAGAAATGAGCAGAATTACAGAATTATCACTAGAGTTGAATGATACACAACTGATCTAATCTGTAATAAACCATATGCGTTTGTCTAGAAGCAGAATACAGCACTCACTTATTGATTTAACTACTACATACAATGTTTATGATACTCTAGGCATTATTTTATACATTTTATATCTGCTGATGTAGCTATAATGCACTGAGTCCTTATACCTGCTCTATGAAGACAATATACTAGCATTATTCCTATTTTCCAGGTAGGGAAACTGAGACCTAGTGATAATTCGCATCAGGACACACAGCCAAGAAGTGATGGAGTCAATCATCAGATCTGGACAGTGTGGCTCCAGAGTGCAGCCTTAACTCAGCTGGACTTGATAGCTTGTCTTTGCTTTGCTATGTCATATTCACACTAAAGAAGTGGGGTATGGAAGGGTGGTCTTACTCTTCTGGTGTTTGACATGAGAATATTGCCTTCAGCTTGCTTCTTTCCTTAGGTGTAAAGTTTATTTGGTGCATTCATTCCCCTGACCCTTTGTGTAGCAGCAACAAGGTCAAATTTACAAGTCATATGCTGTTCATGCCTCCCTACTGAAGGCGTGGTTGGCTGACCTGTAACAGAATTACAGACCCCATCCAGACCTGCTGAATCAGAACCTGTGGTTTCACAAGATCCCTAGGGGATTCACATCTTTGTTAACATTTGGGAAACATTCCTCTTTTTAGAAACAGACATGTTTTATTATCTCTAATAGTAAATAAAATCCTATTTCCTCTTATTATGGAGTTGATATATTCTCAATATCTATTTTAGGAGAGTTATACCTAGTAAACAAGGGGAAGAGAACTTGTGTATTGGAAAGCTTGGGAAGGCAAATAACACTATACCAGCCCTGTCCAAGAGAACCTCCTGCTATAATGGAGATATTCTGTTTCTGTGCTCACCAACATGGCCACATGTCTACTGAGCACTTGAAAAGTGGCTGTATCACTGCGATAAAAACAGCATGGTACTGGCAAAAAAAAAAAAAAAAAAAAAAAAAAAAAAA